TGCCTTTACCCACCGNCAGAGGCAGGTGGATCTCTGTGGGTTCGAGGCCAGCCTGGTCTACAAGAGCTAGTTCCAGGACAGGAACCAAAAAAAAAAAAAAAAAAAAAAAAAGCTACGGAGAAACCCTGTCTCAAAAAATCAAAAAAAAAAAAAAATCTTAGTTGATATCTGCCTATTACTTTTGATAGTTTCATACCTGTATATGTTTTGACAATGACCGTGTCCCCTTTACCTTCTTGTCTTCCTCCCCTCTCCTCCTGAACCCTTCCTTCTTCCCAGCTAGTCAGTCCCTATTCTGTTTTCAGATCTCACGAGTGTGTCCTGCTGAATTTAATTAGGGTTCCTTATGAACATGAGCAGGAGGGTTTTATGAACTCACCGAAGCTGTGATTACACCTCTTAAGACCTGCAGTGGGCCTACCAATGCCTTCACGAACTGTGGGGCAGAGGATGAAGCCCACCCCTCCCTGAGGAGCTGTGGGCAGTTAGTGGGTACGATAACATCTCCTACAGCCAATGAAGGGAGGGAGGATTTCATAGTAGTCAATGAATCACTACACCGGGTCAAGCTGTGGATTTGTTGTAGTTGGTGGTGGTGGTGGTGGTTTCTGGGCTTTTCTCTCTCATGTCTGGTCTTCAAGATCACACACAGGAGGTAGAATGATTTTAGAAGCTCAATCCCTCTTGCTTGGAGGACCTCAGTCGTGGGTTTTCTTCTTGGCAGCTTGAGCTTCAAGGCTCTAGGCTCTTTCCTGCTACCCGCTGAGGGGGCAACAGTGGCTTCTGCACCCATGCCTTGGCCCTGGGTTCCCTGCCTCTCACGTGCTGCAACTGGCTTTCTCCCTCGGTTCTTTAGTCAGAGCCTCTGCTCTGGGAACTGGGTGAGATCCCCCATGGCCTGGAGCTCTTCCTTCTCCATGTCTTGGCTACAGCGCTGACTGAGACCATGGCCGGAGCCTATGAGCTGGAAACAGACTTACTTCTCAGCTGCTCTCTGTGTTCCTCATCTTGAGAACCGTGGTTGTACCTGCAAAGACTCTGTTCTTGAGCTCACCTGCTAGCAGTCCCCAGATCATAAAGTGCTCAGCTGGGACCTTACAGATTACACGCAGCTGTCTGCCACCCTTGGGCTCTAGCCTCTTGCTGTACAATAACTCTTCAATGCCCTGCAGCTAAGGAATAGGATGAGAAACAGTGGTTATATAATAAAGATGATGGTAGGAATTATAATATGACTGATTGACAACTGTGTGCCGGGCATCGCCTAAGTACAGCACATGTTCTTGTTCTCATGGCAACAGTTGGAAAGAGTAATAGATTGTCTGTGTTCTCTGCCCTCCTCACTTGTTCCTCCTGCTTCTCCTCCTCCACTGAAAGGGTTTTACGCTAGGCCAATAACAACCTCCTAATGCGCAAATCTGACAGACGGTTCCTCCTCCTGAACTCAGCACGGCTTCTGAAGGAAACGGAACACCAATAGACAAGGAGGTCAAAAGGGAACATGGTGAGGGCTGATATTTAAGAGAAGCCACAGGCGAAGGAAGGTTCATAAAGGTGGAAGTGGTTTTCAAAGCCAAACCGATAGAGCAAGTCCCCAGCTCCCTTTTGCTGTCTGCTATAACCTTTTAAATGTTGTCTTCCTGGGGGAGTCGTCACTAACCCTCCTCCTCTACCCTCTCTAAGCTTTCCTCCTAAACGGTGCCTACACTGGTGTCCTGCTTGGCTGACGCCTTGGTTCCAGAATTCTATTCTCTAGAACCGTGAGGCAATTCAGACAGTTCTACTGTTTTGTTCGTTCGTTTGTTTCTCTGTGTAGCCCTGGCTGTCCCAGAACTCGCTCTATAGACCAGGCTGGCCTCGAACTTAGAACTCAGAGACCTACCTGCCTCTGCCTCCTGAGTACTAAGGTTAAAGGTGTGTACCGCCATTGCCTGTTTTTATTCTCTTTAAAAATTTTACTTTATGAGTATGGGTGTTTTGCCTGGAGGTTTGTCTGTGTGATGACCAGAAGAGGGTGTCGGATCCCTCAGAACAGAGGATCCAGATGGCTGTGAGCAGCTATGTAGGTGCTGGGAATCAAACCCAGGTTCTACTTTTTATTTGTTTGTTTTATTTTTGGAGACATGGTTTCTCTACATAGCTCTGGCTGTCCTGGAACTTGCTCTGTAGACCAGGCTGGCCTCAAACTGGCAATGATCCAACTGTCTCTGCCTGTTCAACTATTTTAATCCACTTGGTTCGGGGTTCTTTGATGTGGCAGGCCTGAGAAACAAACTCTCTCCCAGTTAACAATGGGTTTGCAACTTTTAATCCCCCCTTAGTCTTTTTGTCAAAGAATAAAAACAACAGCAACAAGGTATCATATAAGCACTGAAGTCTCAGGAAAAAATACAATTCCTTAAACACTTTGTGTTTGTCGAAAACTTACTTCTTTACCCTGTGGTGATATTTTGTTTTGTTTTTAATCTAACAAAAAAAGCTTGCCTGACTATCAGAGTGCAGAGCTAAGCCACTAGTTAGCAATAGATACCAGGCAGTGGTGGTGCACACCTTTAATCCCAGCATTCGGGAGACAAAGGCAGACAGATCTCTGTGAGTTCGAGGCCACCCTGAGCTACACGAGATTGAAGCTGTCTAAAAGAGAAACAGAGTTCACACAAAAATGATCTCAGAATTTGGGATCATATGCCTTTAACCCCAGCACTGCAGAGGTGGAGACAGGAGTGAAAAGGCTTGACAGAGAGGGATTTAAGGCAGGAGGAGACAGGAGCTCAGTGCAGTCTGAGGATTCAGTCTGAGATGCAGTCTGAGGTTTGTAGAGACAGGCTCACCCCTTTGGTCTGAGCATTGGTGGAGGTAAGAACTCTCTAGTGGCTGGCTGCTCTGCTTCTCTGATCCTTCAGCTTTCACCCCCTAATAGCTGACTGTGTTTTTATTATTAAGAACAATTAGAATCCATGCTACAGTAACTCAGCTTTGCCAGTTTTGTTCCAGTCCCCTCACATTTAAGAGTTATATGACAAAATATAAACACTCATTGCATCTTTTATATGTTCCCAGACATCTTCTTCCTCTAGTTTCTGTATTCCTTGGGGGTCGTTTTAGAAAACTGGCTTAAAGAATAATTAATTCGCCGGGCGATGGTGGTGCACGCCTTTAATCTCAGCACTCGGGAGGCAGAGGCAGGCGGATCTCTGTGAGTTCGAGACCAGCCTGGTCTACAGAGCTAGTTCCAGGACAGGCTCCAAAGCCACAGAGAAACCCTGTCTCAAAAAAACCAAAACAAACAAACAAACAAAAGAACAAACAAACAAAAAAAGAATAATTAATTCACGACAGCCTGTCTCAAGGAAACACAGGCAAAGCATGGAGGTCCTGAGTTCAATCACAACATTAGAGAGGGAGGGAGGGAGAGAAGGGGCACAACAGAGCATGACTGTAATGTGTAGAAACTAAAATGACAGTAAGCTTTGATGAAAAGTGAAATTCTCACGCTAGGTAAGCTATTAATGTTGAGCACCTAGTACTTGTTAGTCTCAGTTCTAATTGGTCCCCTACAAGGGTACAGTCTGTGCCTTTTCCTGTGTATTGTACAGGTGAGGCCTAGTCCCAGGATTCTTAGTCTGCACCTGTCATGGCTGCACTAATGTTCAGGGAGGCCTCTTCAGGTGGACAAGAACTAAGAGACGCATACTTAGCTTTGTGGGAGGTGAGGGGTGTGTGAGGCAGCTGGATGAGAGAAGTGGAACCCGTAAGAGGTAAGAGAAGAGGTGTTCCCTACAGTGCCATCTTGATAAGCTGAGCTAAAGATTTCAATTCCTTACAGAGAAAACGCGACTCAAAAATAAATAAATAAAGAAATAGGTAGAAATAAGTGTTTTACTCTTTACTTTGTGATTTCTGTATTGAACTGAACTGCAAGGCATTTAAGGAGTAAGGGCTGTAGATGCCCACTGTCAAAGGCAGTACATTTACTGGTTAAGGCTGGAAGCCATGAAAATGGAAGCCATGAAAACGGAAGCCTGTTGGAGTCCTGCTTTGGGTCCTTTTCTGCGTGTACCGGAGCAAGTTTCTGCATCTATATGCCTCATTTCCCCAACCACAACAGGGAAATACCTAGCTTCCTAAACAGTCGGAAAGATCCTGAGTTACTACAGAGAAAGTGATTTAAGATGGACAACCTGTCAGCAGTAGCTAGCAGCGCAGAGATGACCTGCTGTGATAAGTCAATCTTGTCAGCCTAATACTATCTAGATTTACCTGGGGGTCTAGCCTGTGGGCAGGTCTAGGTGGGCTTATCTAGATTAGGTTAATTAGGATGGCAATAAACTTCAGGGGCACCATTCCTTGGACTTAATAATGAGAAAGGCTGCTGGGTCCCAACCTTAGTGGCTCTCTGCAGGTGAAACGCGATCAGCCACCTCCTGCCAAGCCTCCTCGCTTTGCCGGGCTTCTCCGTGGGTCAAAACAAATCCTTTTTCCTTCCACCGTTTCATTTTTGGGTCGGGGTATTTAATCACAGCAACAAGCCACCTGCTTCCGCTTGATGAACGGAGCCAGATCACCTTTGGAGCTAACTGTTGCTATCTAGGCCTGACACCTGACAGTCCGATCAGAGATCGGGCCCGGGGCCATTCGCCCCTGCTGTCGGTGAGGTGACAGCTTTGCCCCAGGCCCTGCCCGAGCCCCAGCACTCGGGACCTCCGTGACAGCCGTCTAGGGGGCGCGGCACGCCCACGCGGAAGATGCTCAGAGTGGATCCTCGGAGACCCCGCGGGAAAGCCACGGCAGAGGAGGGGCAGGGAGGGCCGCTGCACGGGAGGGGCTCCCCATCCCGGCGGCGCCCCGAGGGCCAGCCACGTCGCCGCGGGCTGGGGTGGGCGGGGCCCGTGGGGTGGGCGGGGCCCGCGGGTCACGTGCCGGGCCTCCCGCGCGCACCGCTGGAGGCGGTGCCCGGTCTCCCCCCCCCCCCTCCCACGAGCCGTGGGGCCCGTGGCGCGCGGGGCATTGTGGGCCGAGGGGCGGGGGTTGGGAAGATGGCGGCTCCCAGCCTCCTCAACTGGAGGCGGGTTTCCTCCTTCACCGGGCCGGTGCCCCGCGCCCGGCACGGACACCGAGCCGTAGCCATCCGGGAGCTGATGATCATCTTCGGCGGGGGCAACGAGGGCATCGCCGACGAGCTGCACGTCTACAACACCGGTAGGCGGCGGCTCGGCGACCCCGCCTCGGGGACGGCGGCGGCGGCGGCGGAGCTGGGGGAGGGGAGTCGCGGCGGACGCGGGGCTGACAGCTGTCACCGCCGGGGTCGCGGCTCCCTCGGCCGGCTGGGGCAGGCGGTCGGTGGGGAGCGCTCGGCCGGCCGGCAGATTGGCTGGGTGGGCGGCAGCCCGAGCTGGCAGCGTGCCGGAGGGCGGCTCGGTTTCCCCGGGCTCGCCGGCCGACATGGAGACACCCCGACCCATCCGTGCCCGCGGATCCGAGCGAGACGGCGGGTTCCACGGTCAGGGCTTCTCCCCCCTTCCCGCCACCCCGGGCTGGTCACTTCGGGGGACCGAGATCCCAGCCACTGTCAAACACAAGCCACCCCTAGCCGGGCTTCGGTAGTCTTTGCCTTCCCCCCTCTCTTTCGGGAGAGGATTGAGGGGCGGGGAGGTCTTCGGTCCTCGGTATCTGGCGGAAGCCGGCAAGACTTTTTCTAAACTGGCAGGGAAGGGATTTGCGGTTGATGGGTGTCTGTGCTCGGCTCGGCTGGACTGGTCCTCGCCAAAGAGGACAGTCTCAGCTGAGGCACCGCTGCAGAGCGTGAAGTGTCTCTGGTCAGGGCGACAAGCCTTTACCACCATGCAGGGTAGAAATTTATTTTCCCCACTAGTAAGTAGTCTAGCAATCATCGGAAACTAATAATTAACTATACGGAGTTTGGGGTCGATCTAGTTCCCAACCACACAACTTTTCTTTGATGAAACAACTTGATCACAGTAGTCCTCTAAAGGCCAAATTCGGTAGGTGAAATTTTGTTACTTTTGGTCCTCTTTGTTACCACCCCTAATACTCTAGCATCAAAAGTTTACGAAGTATTTGATTTGGTATACTGTAAATACTATGGACTTAGAAGTTACACCTGTTTAGACTTCTTGCTTTGCTAGTTGTTCAGAATCAGTATTAAAAGTTACCAAGCCTTTCTAAATCTGAGGTTTTCCATGTCTATAATGGCCAGGACACCTATCAGGATTTTTCTAGGCGCTGAATAATGCAAATCAGGGCTTTCAACAGAAACATTAGTAACATTTTGGCACAGGTGAGTTTTGGCCATAGAGACCACCTCGTATGGTATAAGATGTTTGCTGGCATCCTCAGGCTCAGCTCACTGGTAGCAGCCCCTCCTTTCTGAAAGTTGTAACAACTAAATATGATTGTGGACATTGCAAAGTCAGTACCCTCTGGGGAGCAAAAGAATCCCCTTTGACGGCTACTAGAATACAGGCTAAGAATAGGTATGTATGTATGTATGTATACGCGTATATTTTGATTAGATGTATATATTCTTGATAATCTAATTATGAAACTCATGCATGTTAGCTATTTGTTATAATTGACTTCAATATTTTTTTGGTAACTAGTTACAAATCAGTGGTTCCTACCAGCTGTCAGAGGAGACATCCCTCCAGGCTGTGCGGCCCATGGATTTGTCTGTGATGGCACTAGAATACTAGTGTTTGGGGGCATGGTTGAATATGGAAGATACAGCAATGAACTATATGAGCTACAAGTAAGTGTTTGACATTTGTTATCTCAGTCTGAAGTGCCTAATGAAATCATCAGAAGTTTTAAGAAGAGATTACAAAATGTTTTATTAGCATGGGTACAGTAACAGATGCGCCACACTTTGTAGCCTCCCAGAGGATGTTTCCACCTCACTGTGTCTGGTGACATTTACAGCTTAAAGATGCCTGACCTTTAGCAGTCCTGTACTGCCGCAAGCGTAGGCTTCTGTGTGCGAGTGCGGTAGTCCTTTAGCTTCCAACACCGGCACCCTCGGACTCTGGAACAGACTGCTGGCTCCTGCCTCTGGTGTTTGGAGCCAGTATTGTCCATGCAGTGACCTGGGCGTTTGCGTGTCTAACCCAAAGCATGCTTTGAAAACGCATGCCTCAGTATGAGAGGAATGGCTTCCTTTAGCAGCAGCAGTGACCCACCCACACAGTCATGCCGAGAGGTCACGGCTTCATATAGCCTTTCCAGATTTGATTTGCTTGTTAAACGGAGCTTGTTCTTGGTGACTGTTCTTGATAGGTTCCAAGGGCCCTGATTATGAGGGTTTCTGCCACTGGCAGATGTAATTTGGTTGTATGTATTTCCAAGCAAACCACTATTTCAAATAGAGAAGATTCTCATGGCCAAAAAAAAAAAATTGGAATTTGATTTGTTAAATGAACTTTGTTTTAATGTGATTTAATGAAATTTGATTTGCTATTAAAGGTTAAATATTTAGCATGCATAGATTACCTAATATATAAAAGTTAGATTTCTTGAATTACACCTTATCTTAAAGTTCTATATATAGATACTTATTTTTTTCACTTGGAAGAAATTAGAAGTGATGATATTTATTATTATTATAAACTTAATGTATCATTATGGAAACATGTGTGTATAGGAGATTTATTCGAATGTCCGTTCTCTCTCTCTCTCTCTCTCTCTCTCTCTCTCTCTCACACACACACACACACACACACACACACACACACACACACACAGACTGCTCTGTGACACAGATTTCACATAACCCGGGCTGCCCTTAAAACTCACTTGGTAGCCAAGGATAGCTTTCACCTCCTGGTCCTCTTGCCTCACAAATTCTGGGGTTACCACAGCCAGCCTTCCCAGGATAAACCTGTTAATTTCGGAAGTTAGCCAGTTCTCTGGGCATAGTGTTGCATGACTTTTTTCTAGAACTGGGAAGGCAGAGGCATGCAGGTCTCTTGGAGTTTGCGGCCAGCCTAGAAGTGTCATGAAACTCACTGTGTGTAGAGTTGATAGTGAGACCGAGTCTCCGTGTTAGCCAATGTTTGTCCTTCATCCCCAGAGGCAGTCACGGGTGACTCACTGTTGATAGCACTGACGTAGACGCTGCCTGCTTTCATATGGATGTCTTCTCTCGTTAGGCAAGTCGTTGGCTATGGAGAAAAGTGAAACCCCAGCCTCCTCCTTCCGGCTTACCTCCTTGTCCTCGTCTCGGACATAGTTTCTCTTTATATGGTAACAAATGCTATTTGTTTGGCGGTCTGGCGAATGAGAGTGAAGATTCCAATAACAATGTCCCCAGGTATGCTTTTGTAGACAAGTGCTTGTTTGATGATTTAGGTTAAAATATTTTATCTTTAGTTACTACAAGGCTTAAGCTTATATTTTCATATTGAAAACTGACAATAAACACATATTTGTGTGTTTGTGGTCTTCAGTCCCTTGAGAATATGTTTTCAAACTGTCTTTTCTAATCAGAAATCATCTTAAATTGATACTTGCACAATTGCTTATGCCAGTATATTTGTATGTCTTGAGTGTGATTCCCATTGGGTGGGTCATGCACAGCCCCAAACAGTCACGTGGTTATTTTACCATGTGTTTTCTCTGAAAACTTGGTTAGGTGAAAGCCGTTGTCCTCATGCTTCCTGCAGTCTATGAAGGTGTACTGCACGAGCAGGACTGCTCTCCCTTCCAGAGAGTGGATCACTGTCTCTCTTCTTTTCTGCGTTTCTATAGATGTCTTGCTTTTTATTTTTCTAATACTTACTTGTTTGTTTGTTTATTTATTTCAAAATAGGGTTTCCCTGTGTAGACCAGGCTGGCCTGGAACTCAGAGATCCACCTGCCTCTGCATCCCTGAGTGCCAGGATTAAAGACATGTGCTGCCACGCCAGGCATAAGGGTTTGATTGTGTGTTTAATTGTGTGTCTATGTGGGTGTTTGTGTGTTAGATTTGTGCATAAGGGTTTGTGTGTTTAATTGTGTGTCTATGTGGGTGTTTGCGTGTTAGATATGTGCCTGTGGGTGTGGGTGTCCATTGAGGCCCAAGTGTCGGCTCTCTGTGGAGCGGGGGGTTCCAGTTAGTTGTGGGCCAGCTGCAGTGGGTGCTGGCACGGAACTCATGCTCTTTGAGAGAGTAGGATGTGCTCTTGATCACTGAGCCATTTCTTCAGTCCCTAAACTTTGAAAGTTTATGTTCTAAACTGTTTTGTTTTTTTCTCGCTCATACTTGAGTAGAAAGTTAGTAGGAAATTGAATTAGTTGTTACAAAAGTCATTTTGGAATTGGGAGCTAGCTCAGCAGGTTGAGCTCTTGCCATGAAGTGTGAGGACCTTGGGTGTGGATCTCTAGAGCCCACATGAAGAAGAAGTGTGTGCAGTGGCCAGCATGAACTCCCAGCTGACAGGAGGCAGAAACAGAAACATTCTGGGGAAGACAAGTCATTTCATTAAAAAAATCTTAAGAAAAGAAGCTGTTTAGGACAAGTTCAGTATGGTTTCTAAATTAAAGACACTGTCTAGGACATTGCTGTGACATTACAGTGTGCTGGAAGTTGCAAAGCAGTGCTTATTCCAGAGAGCAGTGTCTTCAAGGTGTTTGCCAAAACGCTGTCCGTAAGAATGGTTGGTTATCTAGTGCTGTGTAGTAAACTAGCGATGCAAAACTACTTTTACTGTGCTCAAAACTCTGTAAGTAAGGAAATTACACGGCACAAAGTGATGGCTGACTCTTCAGTGGGAGTCAGCTGAGGCGGCTGAAGGACAGAGTCAGTGGGGCTGTCACCCCATATGCCTGTGGATGGCTCTTTTGAGACCTGATCTCGTATGGCCCTGGCAGACTTTGGACTATGTAGCCAAGAATAACTGAGCTTCTGATCATCCTGCCACACTGAGCACTGAGATTATAGGGATGTGCCGCCATGTTTGGTATATATGTTGCTAAAGACTGAAACTTGGGCTTCCTGCATGCTGGGTTGGCTTTCTACCCAGACCATAGAGTGGCCTTACAGTGTGTGGTTGAGAGTTTCACAAGCAGTGTTATAGTAAGAATCTAATATGTATATATGTGTGTGTGTGTGTGTATGAGTATGGCCTTTCACAAGCCAGCCGTGGCACCTTGTTCAGAGCATCACAGACCAGACTAAAATACAGGGGAGAGGAACCTCATGTCCTGACAGGCTGTGTTTTAAGACTGTCACCGTTGTATTGACAGATGTTTTCCATCTTCACCCTGGACACAGTAGAGTGATAAATCTGTGTGGAATGAGTGTCTGGAAGTTTTGCTTGCTTTAGTGCCTTTCTGTACTATGTGAATTTTTTTTACAATAAGCATATGATGGACCTTTTTTTCTTTTTGAAAATGTTTGTGTGTCTTCTGTGTGTTTGCATGGGTTTATTGCACAGTGTGCATGCAGATGCCTACAGAGGACAGCAAAGGGCATCAGGTCCTCTGTAACTGAGTTCCAGGTGGTTGTAGCCACCAGATGTCCGCACTAAGAACCCGCTTTAGTCCTCTGCCAGAGCAGTGAGCTCTTCTAGCTGCTCTCAGGCCCCCTTTTCTTTTTCTTTTCTTCTTTTTTGACATAGGATGTCTGGTTCATACTGACCTGGAACTCATGGTCCTCCTGCTTCAAACTCTTGGGTGCTGAGATTAGCCACTGTGTGGCTAATATATATTTATTAATTGAAATAAAAAAACAAATAAAACATACATATCATCTGAATGTTTTCATTTCTTTTGTGCTATCTTAGGTATTTAAATGATTTCTATGAGCTGGAACTACAGCATGGTTCTGGTGTCGTGGGCTGGAGCATTCCAGCCACGAAAGGCATTGTACCTTCTCCAAGAGAATCCCACACTGCTATTATATATTGTAAAAAAGACTCCGGGAGTCCTAAGATGTATGTGTTTGGTGGAATGTGTGGTGCTCGCCTGGATGACCTATGGCAGCTTGATTTAGGTAATCTTAATTTGATTCAGGAATTTCTTAGGATTGGTAAAGGAAAAATTTAAATGTATTTTTTTTGTTTTTGTAAATATTTATTATAGTCAGCATTTACAGTCTCAGGAACAGCTGAGACATGATTAGTCACTTTGAACAATTGAATGTTCAATTTATGGTAGTAAATTTCCTATGTTTCCTTGAGCACCCACCATAGATTCTGGTTGTCTAGAATGGTCCACGTGCATGCTTATGGTCCTCTGTAATTGTTAGTGGGACCGTCTTTCACCCTGAGACGGGTCTGGTTGGGTTACTAATTTCTTTGTTGTCCTCCCTGTCTATGGGAAGTGTGACTTTCACAGAATTGCTAACCAATGGGAGACCTGAGGGCAGCTCTCTGAAAGAGAATAATTGAAAATGTGCTTCTCATTTTTCACTGTCTTTTAAATTTATTTAATAAGGTTAAATCAAAAGTATTATTTGTCATTTAAAATTAGTGACACTTTAAGCACTTCAGGAGAAATGTTAAATTCAGTGTAAGTAGATTTCTGATTGGATGTGCTTGTGGTCTGGGAATGTTTAAGATGACTTCAGATAACTGATTTGAAACGTTTTTGCTTTTTTTGGTAAGTACTTTTGTTTTATTTTTTTAAGTGTGTAAATTGAGGTGATTTGCTATCATTAGATCAAATTCCTGATTTTCTTATATTTATTTCTAGAAACTATGTCATGGTCAAAACCAGAAACGAAGGGGACAGTGCCACTTCCGCGGAGCCTTCATACAGCCAGTGTTATAGGAAACAAGTATGGCTTCCTTCTCTCGTTTGCCTTGAAAGACTGATACAAAGAGAAGTAAAGATGGTCCTTCCTTAGAAATAGATTTGCAGACTTAATAATACCTTGTTATGCTGATCACAGCTAAAGTAATTTGTCAGTGGGAGCTGGAACACCTGTCTGGGTTACCTATTTAGCTTCCTCCCCGTGCCTTTCCTGGTATGGCACGGCCTAAGTGTCAGCGGGTGTTGCCAAGCTGCTTTGTCCTCTCTGGTTAGGTTCCCAGCGTCTGCACAGGGCCCACATCTATCAGAAACTCCAGTCCCAGGGAATCGGAGACACCAGGCATACATATGGTACATATGCACATATGCAGACAAAACACCCATAGAAACAAAATAAAATGTTTTTTAAAAAATTTAAGAAAAGCTGTTTGCTGTTCTAATTGGCGGCGTGGGCCTAGGAGAGCAGGGCCTGAAAGTCTCATACAAGCCAACTTTATTTGGAGCATCGGACAGTTTACACTCTGAGGGTTAAAAAGAGTCACATGAGTAAGGTGTTCAGTCAAAAGGACACATGTGGCAAAACCCTGTTTTCCCATAGAGGCGTATGAATAACAGGGGATAGAATTAAACGCCTGTCTGCTATACCTGAGAGGAGATGAAACGCACTCCAAGAACAGTTCTGTATTTGAACAAACTGAGGCCATCAGACTCTTGTCTTGTTTTCGTGGAGTTTTTCCACAAGCACTCAGAATTCTCACACTGCTCCATTCTCGGACAGTGTTCCGACAAGGTGGTCTGCTATCTGTGTTTAACAGTGCTGGAGTTGGAACCGCGCACTTAAACACATCTCAGTGTCCTACCAACACGCAGAACTGCATCACCAAACCTTTTTTCCTTTGAAGACCAAGTCTCCCTAACTTGCCCAGGCAGACCTCAAAGTTGTGATCTTCCTGCTTCAGATTCCCTGGGAAGCTGGGCTTGTAAGCCTGCACCACCACGCTTGTTCCAGCATTCTTCTACCATAGCCTCCCGCACAGCTGGGGCTCCAGGCATTCATAGCCAGGGCAGGCTTAAAGTTGTCATGTTTAAGTAACGGTAGTAACCCAAAGTTAAGTGAAATTTCATCTTTTTTGATCACTGTCTTAGTTACTTTTCTGTTGATGTGTTGAAAATACCCTAACAAAAGCAACTTAGGAAGGAAGGGCTAACTGGGCTTACAGTTGCAGGTGAAAGCCCAGCATTTTGGGGACTTGTGCATGTGCAGTTAAAAAGCAGAGATGGATGGGTGCCTGCGCTCTTACTAAGCATATGATATAGTCGAGACATTGTTCACTTACACTTCCTCGACGGAGTGTAATTTTGGTTCAGTTCTGCTTTATAGAGTTGTCAGGTTTATTGTTGTTGAGACAGGCTCTTGTTCCATTCCCTGTGGCCTTACACTCATGAGCTCCGAGCATCCTCCTCTTTCCTAGATGTGTACCATCCTTGCTTACAATGGTAAACTCCTTTATGAAAGACCGTTTTGTTCATTTTGTCTATACAATGCTCCCTTTACAGTGTGGTAGGTGAGGAGTTCTGAAGCTTTAAGCTGGCAGATAAGCTCATTCTTGTGTTTCCTATCCAGAAAGTAAAATTTATTTTAAGTCCTTGGTTCTCTTCTGTCATGCAGGATGTACATTTTTGGTGGATGGGTTCCCCACAAGGGGGAGAATCCTGAGAATTCACCTAATGATTGCGAGTGGAGATGTACGAGCTCATTTTCTTACCTGAATCTAGGTGAGTCTTGAGACTTTCTCGTTGAGGTAATAAAGTCATGTTTGCTGTTTGTTGCTTAAGAGCAATTACTGAGTCATGGAAATTTCTTTCTATTTAGATACAGCAGAGTGGACCACTCTAGTGTCAGATTCTCAGGAAGATAAAAAAAATTCAAGGCCGAGACCACGAGCTGGACACTGTGCCGTTGCGGTCGGCACTCGACTGTACTTCTGGAGTGGAAGAGATGGCTACAAAAAAGCCCTCAATAGTCAAGTGTGCTGCAAGGATCTCTGGTATCTCGATACTGGTACGTAAGAGTGCGTAATGAAGTTCTTCATACAGATACTCAGCGTCTGCCTTTAAAGACTGGAAAGGAATCCTTACAATTAGAAGTCACTGGGAGGAATATGTAAGGCTCCCCACTTGGAAGGAGGATTCTTTTCCAAGGTGCTGAAGGGGAGAACTGTTTGTAGTCTTAACAGGTGATCCAGATTGTTATCAGTAGTGCTAAATTCTATTCATATCATTTACACCCTGATAAGAATGTGCTGAGAGCTGGGAAGTGGTGGTGACACCTTTAATCCCAGTACTCAGGAGGCAGATGAATCTCTGAGTTTGAGGCCAGTGTGGTCTACAAGAGCAAGTTCCAGGACAGCCAGGGCTACACAGAAAAGCCCTGTGTCTAACTCTCTCCCCTCTCCCCAAAAATATGGCAAGAAACATTCCACCCCTGTGGTACTTGCCTACAAATCTGTAACCCCAGTATTATGGTGCAGAGGTACCAGACAGCCTCAGATTAAAGGGCATGTTAGGTCATTTGCTCCTAGTTACATCAGTTTTAAAGTGGGGACCTGCAGTATATCTCAGCAGGTTCTGACACTTGCTGTCCAGTCTGAGAGCATGAGCATTTAAATGCCATCTTCTGAAGGTCCCTGCAAGATTTGAAGAATACCTAACCAACTGAAATATATCTCTATATATCTAGAAAACCTAACTAGCATGACTACAATTTTGACTATTATAGATGGCTATCTATTGACCTATATTTTTAATTATACATTTTTAAATGAACTACACAAACACAATACCTTAATCAAGATCAGAAATACACACACATATAACAAAATTGACCTTAAATTTGTATCAATAAACCAAGATCCATACCAATGTAAATTATTCATATCTATATCATATCCCCCTTTAAATGTAAAAGAACATTTATAAACAATATTTGGGAATATGGGCATAATTAAATCACTGCTTGGCCCATTAGTTTTAGTTTCTTATTGGCTAAGTTTTACATCTTAATTTAATCCATTTCTATTAATTTGTGTATCACCACATGGCAGTGGCTTACCTAGTAAAATTCCCAGCATCTGTCTCTGGCCGATCTATGGCATCTCTCTGACTCTGCTTTCTTCCTCCCAGAATTCAGTTCTGTCTTCTCTGCCAATCTAAGTTCTGCCCTGTCAGACCAAGGCAGTTTCTTTATTCATTAACCAATACAAGCAACACACAGAGGGGACTCCCACATCAAGGACAGGCTCCAAAGCTAGAAAAAGAGAAAAGTACCGATGCCTGTGACTCGAATTATATTCCTTATATTTTCTAGGTTTCTGTTTTGAATCTTTTTTTAACATGACCTTTTCACTTCCCCCTGCCTCTAGAAGCATTTGTAATTTTTCCCCTGTTCCTGAAATTTTAAATTTTTATGATGGTGGTGGTTTGTTTCTGTTCATTTAGACGGAGCCTTCCAAACTAGCCTGTGAGGCCTCAACTGCACAGCCCTCCTGCCGTAGGTGTGCACCACCATCCACTCCTTGCTTGCTTCTTTGTCCTTTTCTTTTTAAAGGAAATTTTGTTTTGATTTTTTAAAATTATTTGTAGGAATGTGAGTCTGAATTTTAGTGTGTGCAGGGGGCCTGGGAGCTGCAGATGGTTGCGACCCACCTGGCCCGGAAGCTTGGGTTCTCTGGGGAAACGCTGGTGCTACAGCCATCTCTCCAACCCAATACCTGGTTTTCATCACTGTGATAAGTACTCAGTGGGCCCTTTCAGTCTGGAAACTCATGGTCTTTAGTGTTTTAGAAATTTATTTCAGGATTTACATTTTTAAAAATTCCCTCCATGTCCTCCCCTTTAATATCTGGTCTACTTCCTGGACTTTCCCAAATGTTTGCTTTAATTCAGCTGTGGGCTGCCATCCTTTGAGGGATATAAACTGCTTGGGTTGCTGAAGGGGTGGTGGGGGACTTTACATAAAAATTGTTGAAGGAACAGGCCTCACTGTCTCCTGACTCACTTTGAAGCACGGAGGTAAGCCTAGGGAAAATACGCTAACAAAGAGTACTGCTGTACTTCCACAAACCAGTTCAGGGAATAGGCTTGGACTGGCTGTGGCTTCTTGGACGTATGTTGTTATCATCAGTAAAATGATACATTTTAGGTTGAAGAGATGGCTCAGCAGATAAGAGCACAGGCTACTCTTCCAGAGGACCAGAGTTAATTCCCAGCATCCAACCATCTGTAACTCCAGGTCCAGGAGATCCGACACATTCTCCTGGTCTCTGTGTGCCAGGCATGCACACGACACACAGATACACATGAAGGCAAGACACCTATATACATAAAGTAATGATTAAAATATTTTGAAGAGATATTTAAAAAATGAAGTAGATCTCGGACTTGCTCTGGACAGCTGAGAAATCACAAAGATGAATTTTCTTAACTAACTGTCCAAAGCTAGGGACATATTTCCTCTCAGTTGTGAAGCTTGCTGACACCCTTAGTATACATGGAAGACTGGACCAGCAATATTGTCATCAGGTACAACCTCAGATACTTTTTGTTTCTCTGTGTAGCCCTGGCTGGCCTGGAACTTGCTCTGTAGCCCAGATTGACCTCAAACTCAGATTCACCTGCCTCTGCCTCTCAAGTGCTGAGTTTAAAGGCATGTGCCGCCACCACCACCTGGCTATAATTTCAAATCTTAGAAGATCTGTTACTTGTTGTGGAAATATTAGCAATATTTTTTATGTTACTGATATTTTATACCAAGGTTATGTGTTTTGGGTAGTACTAATTTTGTTAAAGGGTAAAAACTTCATGTTGTTCCAAAATATATCCAAGTCATCTTTGCTAGCAGCAGTATTTCTAGCATGTATGCTGTTGGTTAAAAATCAGTTCTTTTTTTTTTAAAAAATATCACTCTAGTTAATTAACTAATTAAGTAAGTAAGTAATTGTGTCTACAACATTCAGCTTCCATGTATGCCCACATGCCAGAAGTGGGTGTCAGATATCATTACAGATGGTTGTGAGCCACCATGTGGTTGCTGGGAATTGAACTCACAACCTCTGGAAGAGCAGCCAGTGCTCTTAACCACTGAGCCATTTCTCCAGCCCCTAAAAATCAGTTCTTTAAATTAAGAAAATTAAAATTCATGAAGGTAAAACACAAAGCAATAATTCTATAACACCCAGTCTCACCTCTCAGCCTTTTAGACATGATTAGGTGTATTCAGGGGAGATCTTCGGCCTTCTGATCCTAATGGCACAAGTAGTTTGGTATTGAGTTGTTTTATTTGTAGAAGAAATTGAATAAAATCAGAGCTTCAAACTACTTTGGTTTGTCTGTCTTTAAGTATCTTCAGCAAACAGGTGTGGTGTTCACTGCTGGTGTTTTCAAGCTCCTGCCCACCAAAACTGTTGGCAGACTGTGGTTGTGATTGAAACTAAAGGCTCTATATAATGTTTTTCCTTAGAGAAACCACCAGCACCATCCCAAGTCCAGCTGATCAAAGCTACTACCAACTCTTTCCACGTCAAGTGGGACGAAGTGCCGACGGTCGAGGGCTATCTCTTGCAGTTGAATACTGACTTGCCGTACCAAACTGCATCACCTGATTCTTCAGCAGCACCAAATACGCTAGGTAAAATAAGTGTTGTGCTTAAAGAGTGCATGTCTGCTCGTGTGCTTTCTAAAAACATACTGCGGAAGTCCCATGACGATGCTTGGCTCAGGAAACTGCATGAGCTTTAAGATGCCCTGGTACATGGCTGGCAAACCAGTTGGCCTGAGCATGAGCTCTGAACCTGGCGGCTGTCTCACTGTCGTAGCGAACTCAGAAAGGTGCAGAGTGCTTTCCTGCAGCTCGTTCTGTGGACCTGACAATCTTCAGTCTTGAGCTCCAGTCATGTTTTCAGTTAGCTTCAGAAATACTTCACTGGTTTCCAGAAGTGTTTTTAACTGATCAGGCCCCTGGAAAGCAACAAAATTTGTTACAGTCTTCAGCAACTATTAAGTAACTATTAAGAAAGCAGATACACTTGGATAAAGATGGTATTTTAATCTTTAATGTGTAAATTTAAAACTGTTGACAACGCAGTTTATGGATGCCAATGAAGAGCATATCAGTGTGAACTTTCTCATTCCTACAGGAGGCAGGATGGACCCTCAGAGACAAGGCAGTAATAGCATCCTTCAGAACAGTGTAAGTGGAAGCTCCTGTGCTGACAGTGAATACTCGTGGGCTAGCCAGTTTGTGCCGAGGGTTTTTGCATATTACTCTGAATAAGGGTCATTACTCCTTGCTCCATTTGAGAATCAGCTCTGAACTGTCCAGGCAGCCTGGTTTTCACAGGCCTGGGGATGAGGCTCAGTGTTAGAGTGCTTGGTGGCAAACACGAGACCCTGAATTCTGCCTCTAGCACCACAAAAATAAAAGGAGAAAAGACGTTCTATGATAGAAGCCTGAATTGAAATCCGTGTTGAAGAGAAGCCTAGTTTCATTGCCTATAGTGTTGGATGCTGTTCTATTTGGATTGATACTTATGAGCCAGGTGTGGTGGTGTGTAACATGATGGCCTGCTTGTTAGGGTTTCTGTCCTGCCCAGTTCCCATAGCCATTTAGCCCCAAAGAAAATCACACAGACATCTCCATAAGTTATAAACTGATTGGCTCATTAGCTCAGGCTTCTTATTAACTCTTGTAATTTATATTAACCCATTATTCTAGTATATGTTAGCCACATGGCTTGGTACCTTTTTCAGCGGGGTAGGTCATATCTTCCTTCTTCCACGTCTGGGAGGAACTTCCTTCTTCCTAGAATACTCCTGTGTTTTCATTGCCCTGCCTATACTTCCTATCTGGTTGTCCCGCCTATACTTCCTGCCTGGCTACTGGCCAGTCAGCGTTTATTTAAAACATAATTGACAGAATACAGAATTGTCCCACACCAGCTGTGTATCTGCAATCCCAGAGCTTGAGAGGTGGAGCCAGGTCAAGAGTCCAGCCTCAGCTATACTGTGGAATTGAGCTAGCCTCAACTACACAAAACCCTGTCTCAACCAAAACAAAGTATTTTAAGTTTATATTGTGATATTCTTAGATGTCATATATATATATATATATATATATTTATTCTGAATATATAAAATATAATTTAAGTATACTTATATATTTCATTTACCAAAGACTATCAGTATCTAAGCTGAACAACTTGTGTAAAGTTACTTGTTCCTTATGAGGTGGTCATGGTAAGTATTGTGGACGTTAATGGCTCAACTTATTAAAATTCATTATTTTCATCTGGGAAACTGCTGTTGCCATCAGTGGATCCTTTCCATGGAAAGGGATGAGGTATGGTCCTGCTTTGAGCATGGCTGAGGACCAAGAATGAGAGAAAATCTTGTGGTTATCTAGGAAGGAGATATTACAAGTTGTGCTCATACTTTGTGAGTAGCCTATTTTAGAAAATAAACTACATTTACATTATAGTATACATGTGCCATGAGTATTGTATGTGATGTGTGTGTATATACATCATAAGCTGAATGGTATTGCATGGCTTGTGATAAGATCATGGGTGACTGCCTTGCCCCTCCCTGTTCTTGGATCGTGCTGAAAACAACTCCTTTAAACAATTCTCGCTTTCTTTTAGTATCTAACTATGCACGCTTGAATGAAATCTTAGCTGGGTGTGGTAACCTGCCTGTAATCCCAGCATTCAGGAAGCAGAGGCAGTAAGATCTCTGTGAGTTTGAGGCCAGCCTGATCTACAGAGTGAGTTCCAGGACAGCCAGAGCTACATAGACAAAAGAGCAACAACAATAAATAAAATTCTTATTTTGCTATGCCTTTACTTTCTCACTTTTGATCGTGTATCTTCAATAAAAAGATAAGGAAGCTGGGAGGGGTGGTAAGTGCTTGAAATCCCAGAACTAGGAAGCAGGGACGGGAGGATTCTTGCCGGCTAGCCAGCCAAGCCTCCTTGGCAGATTCTAGGCCAGTTGTCTCAAAAAACAAGGTGATAGCATTCCTGAAGAACTGCAGCTGAGGTGTCCTCTGGTCTTCACACATATGTACCTGTATGTTCACACACATAGACGTACATACACAGAAAAGGTAATGGAAGGTGAAGATTTGATGACGTCCCTCTCCACATTTTCCACTCCTCTCCAGCCTTCAAGTGTTTTTAGTGGAGTTCAGTTTGATGTTTGTCTCACGATGGTGACGTACCCACAGATGAGCCACACTGTACTTGATGACCGTGTTAGGATGGTGACGTACCCACAGATGAACCACACTGTACTTGATGTCCGTGTTAGGATGGTGACGTATCTAGATGAGCCACACTGTACTTGATGACCGTGTTAGGATGGTGACGTATCTAGATGAGCCACACTGTACTTGATGTCCGTGTTAGGATGGTGACGTAACTAGATGAGCCATGCAGTGCCCAATGGTGTTGTTCATCACATACAGCTCTTTCTTTCCTGCTGTTATCTGCCTCCCTTTTTAATTTTCTTTTTCCTTTCCTGTAATTAATTCAAAATCAAATTCCACCATCTAAAGCAATTTCTTTTCCTCTTTTTTTTTTTTTTGTCTCCTGACCTTCTTCATCCTCTGGTCCAGGGCCTCTTAAGCTTTTTCAAATCACAATCTTTTTTTTTTTCCCAAGAAAATTTTGTACAGTCCAATGTGGAAGTATTTAAAATAATTATAGGAATAAAATATTTGCTAGTAATAATTTATATTGAAGTATATTGTGTGTGTATGCAAGTGTACATTTATATGATCACATGGAAGGCCGAGGTCAAACGAGGAATCCTCCTCAATCGCTCTGCACCGTATATTTAAGATGGCATCCACCTGAACGTAAGTGGTGTAAATTCAGCTGGACTATCCCCACTCCTTAGCACTGGGGTTACAGGCATGCACCACCGCAATGCAGCTTTTCACACGGATTTTTATTTGGGTCCCGGGTTCTCTATTTGTGCTGAAAGTGTTTTATCAACTGAGTCGCCTCCCCGGCCTGAGAAATTGCTGTAAAGTAACAATGTGGTTTATATGCAGTTTTTCTGTTACTAAAGATAAAGCAAGTTTGCATACTGATTAGGTGTTGTATTTAGAACATCTTCAGTGTTTTTGAAAACTGATGAATTTTTGATTTTGTTATTATAAGTGCTGAGAATGGCTCTTAACACAGATGATGTAGATGAAGTGACAGAAGTGTGTTCAGGTCCATTGTATACATTATATACATATATACATTGTATATATTGTGGAAATTCCTTGTGAAATCAGATATCTAGAGGACAGCAAGATGGCTCAGGGAGTATAAAAATACACACACAAACACACACTCACAAGGAAAACAGCAGCAACACTGGAGTGTTTAAAGATAAAGGATGTGATGTCACTGATAGCCTGGACTGCCATACAGTTTAAATGTGTTCATTATAGTATATCTAGGAAGGCAAGTTAAAATGTCTCTCCCTTCCTCCCTCCTCCCCTTTCTCTTTCCTCTCCTCTTCCCTGGACCCCATCTTCTCTGCCCCAGCTTCCCATGTAGCCAGAATTACAATCCCAGACCACCATGTTCAATATTAGGAAGGTTTCTGATCAAATGTTTAATAGTAAATAATACTGACAAGCAGCAGTGTTGAATCTTTACATGTAAAACCCAGTCATACAGAATAATTCCTTTGCTGAAATTTTTCTTTTAGGAATCATCAGATTTTTCAGCTATGTGTCTGAAGTGTCTAAAATCTTTTTTAAAGAATAGGGGTTGCTAACAAAATGGTTCAGTGAGTCAAGAACGTGCTATGCATGTCTGACCACCAGAGTTCAATCCCTGGGACTTACATACATAGAACACTGACCCCATCAAGCTGTCCTCTGACCACACACGTGTATCATGACACATACGCACCCTCACACATTTACACCCCGTCAGCTAGCAAATCATTGGTGTAGGGTGATGGAGGCGCACACCTTTAATCCCAGCACTCGGGAGGCAGAAGCAGGTGGATCTCTGTGAGGTTCAGGACAGCCAGGACTGTTACACAGAGAAACCCTGTCTCGAAAAACAAAAAATTGTTAATAAAAATGCTAAACTGAGTGGTGTTCATGACCTCAGCTGTGCTGCATAAATATTTGCTTGTAATACTAGCCTCCATTTGAAAATGGTAAACTGAAAATATAATCTTTGGAACAAGGAGATTAAGTAAAAAAAAATCTGAAAACTACTAGGTTAAAGAATGAGTATAAAAATTAGGGATGTGGGCCGGGGGTGGTGGCACACACCTTTAATCCCAGCACTCGGGAGGCATATGCAGGCCTGGTCTACAAGAGCAAGTTCCAGGACAGGCTCCAAAGCTACAGAGAAACCCTGTCTCGAAAAAGATATAGTTATATATATTAAATATTTTGCATTTTGGTAAGTTTTTGTTTCTGTTGTTGTTTTGAGAATCTTATTTCCTAGCCTAGGCTAGCCTATATCACTGGAGCCTTCTGCCCCATCTCTCAAAATACCTGGGATTACAGGTGTGTACCACCACTCCCTGTTGGTGAATTTACTTCCCCAAATGTACTTGAAATTATTTTGCTTGTTTTTTTTAAATATTGACTTATATTTTATTGAATATTACTTGCTATGATGAACTATTTTATTTCTTGTAGGTTAGTGATACAGTAAACAGTGCAAAAACTGAGCACACAGCCATGAAGGGGACCTCACTGAAAAGCAAACCAGACTTCAGAGCAGCCGACTCTAATGCTGGCTTGCATTCGCCTTTGGCGCCTAATGCTCCTCATAACAACAGCTGTGTGGCAGATATGCTCTGGAAGAGTGAAGGTACAAGGTCGCCTTTCAATAAAGCCCAACTTTATAGCACTGGCAGAGAGGTGGAGAGTCACTGAGAAGTAGACACTGTGCTGTTGGTGCTGTGTCTTGAGACTGGGCCTCACTGTGTAGTTGTGACTGGCCTGGAACTAGCAGACCATCTGCCTCTGCCTCTAAGTGCTGGGACTAAAGGCCGGGACTTACATGACGGTTTTGTTCACTTTGTTCACAGTGAACCTCAGTGACAGACTGTAAGGATGCAATTCAGTCAGGGAATTGTTGTTGACATTGATTTTGGTCAGTGTGACTGTCCTTGTGCCTGTTCTGTCACTTTGTAGCTGTATGAGGTTTGTTCATCTTGTTCCTGTTTCCACGATGCTGAGATATGGGCTGGATGGAGAGTTGTCATTTAGTAATAGCTGCCTTGCAGGTATCTGGATGACAGTAACTCAGCAGTGGGGACTGTTAATTAATCACTTGGTTCATAAGACAGCTCATACTCTGGTTATTTTTATCTGAATATTCTGTTGTACTTTGTTTTTTTTTATGTTTGTTTATTTATTTATTTATTTATTTTTGATTTTCGAGACAGGGTTTCTCTGTAGCTTTTGGTCCCTGTCCTGGAACTAGCTCTTCTAGACCAGTCTGGCCTCGAACTCACAGAGATCCGCCTGCCTCTGCCTCCCAAGTGCTGGGATTAAAGGCGTGCGCCACCACCGCCGGGCTTAATTTTTGTTTTTTAAACAGGATCTCACTCTGTGGCCCATACTAGCTGTCCTCACTATTGTAGCCTGGGCTGACCCAAAATTGTGGTCCTCCTGCCTCGGTCTATAAAGTGATGAGATCATAGGCATGATCTACCATGCCTGGTTATAGTCAGGTGCCACTGAGATACATACCTGGGATTTCAATACCTAAAATTATTTTATGAATTTTAATTCTGGACTGGGTGGTGGTGATGTACATATTTAATCCCAGCACTCAGGGAAGCAGAGGCAGGTGAATCTCTGTGAGTTCAGGGCCAGCCAGGGCTACACAGAGAAACCCTGTCTCGAAAAAAACAAACAAACAAATAAATAAAAATTATTCTGGTATATCCTTGGAATAGAAATGTAGCTTTTTAATTTTAAGATATTGTGATAGCTATTCCAAATCTAATTGTTCAGGGATTCAAATATAACAGAATAAACATTTTTAATATTTATTTATTTATTATGTATACAATATTCTGTCTGTGTGTATGCCTGCAGGCCAGAAGAGGGCACCAGACCCCATTACAGATGGTTGTGAGCCACCATGTGGTCGCTGGGAATTGAACTCAGGACCTTTGGAAAAGCAGGCAATGCTCTTAACCTCTGAGCCATCTCTCCAGCCTCCAGAATAAACATTTTTTATTTCCATTTTGAACAATAGATAAAAATACTACAGAAAGGTTATTTCCTATACTGTTCTTATTGCTCTGCTTACACAAAAGGAGCACTTTTGTTGATTTTCCTTCCTTTTTGCTTGTTTGCTTTTATTTTTTTTTTTTTTTTTTTTTTTTTTTTTTTTTTTTTTTTTTTTTTTTTTTTTTTTTTTTTTTTAGAGGCAGGGTTTTTCTTTTTATCCCTGGCTGTCCTGGAAACAGCTCTGTAGACCAGGCTGGCCTCAAACTCACAGAGAGCTGCCTGATGCTGTCTCCCAAGTGCTGGGATTCAAGGCATGTGCCACAATCACCTGACTTTTATTTTATTTTATTTTTTCTTTTGAGATAGACGCACTGTGTATCCCATACTAACCTATCCCAGGCTATCTGGCCTCAAGCTCCTAGTGATTCTCCTCCTTCACCCTTCCACGTGCTGGGATATAGGTGTGGTCTACTACACATGGAAGGGTCACTTTCTTTCCTGATGTAAAAGTATTATTTGATATAGATAAACTTGGTCCTAAACTTATATAGTTTAAAATTTCTTATTTGTAATTTTCTGTCTTACAAAGAAGTTTATATGCTGGAAACAAACTCAATCTTGAGATTTCCAGATCCTCAGTAAAATTGTTCCTGAGCAAATAGTAAAGGACAGTGCCTGAGGCATGGTAAACACCCGTGTCAGTCTCGGGAGACACTGTTTGCAGAGCGGAAGTAGCGGAGTGATATGATTACATTTGCGCTCTCACTGAAAGAAACTTCTGACTGTACCAGGGGAAGAGATGCTTTAGGCAATAACTGAAAGACTGGGTGGGGCTTCTTTTAGCCCTCTCAGATGGATGTACATAAAGATAAAACAGTGGCAAGACAGAACAGAGAAGAAACATTTTAGAGGCTCTTAGAAAGGTTTATTAATTAGACTTGACAGCTGTTGGTTATGAGAGAAAAAAGCAAATCAAATAAGACTTTTTAGTTGAACATCAGAATGAACACTGACCTCATCAGAATGAAAATGGCAGGAGCAGGAATCCAGCTGTGAACTCAGCCGAGGTCCTGGGCAGTTGAGTGTATAGGTGTGGAGTCTCGGAGGCGGCTCTCAGCTGTACAGATAGATGGAGAGGCTATCTAAGATGTAAGCTCCACAGGAGCAGAGGCCTTGTTGACATGCTCGCTGTGAGATTCCCAACAGCCAGTGCTTGACTGCTGATGACTTGTGTTTGCAGCACGGGTGCATGCAGAGAAGGATGCTCAGTTTAGGAACACCCGATAGAAGCATTACTGAAGGTCACCCAGCTGAAGACACCGAGAAAAGATAAATGTTGGGAAGGGGGTTGGTTTTTGTTTAAGATGGGCATTATGCTTTGTGACTCTTTGTATACATGTGTTTACTAGATGATCCTTCACCATCACAGAAGTAAACATAATGCCCTACAGGAAGTCTTCAGTATTGTGGGATAAATGAATATTACCCATAGGCATCACTGTTTATCTTCCACAACGGTAGAGAAGACAGAAAATGAGTAGGATCACAAATGTATTTCTGGTTTAGGCAGAGATCTCATGCTGCCCCGCACACACACATACATACCCTGAAACTGAGTGACAAGGCCATTTGCTCTATAGCTTAGTAGTAAACAGTGTCAGTTTAGAGTGGAAAAAAGCTGCGATGTCAGACATCCATGACAGGTCCAGTGCACCCTTTTCTAAACATGTTCTACCCAGTGGTTAATCCATTTCAGAGCTGTGTGCAGAACTTGTGTGTGTGTGACTCTGAAAACTGAAAGCACCAAGAAGTACACAACAAGCCAGGTGGTGTTGGCACACACCTTTAATCCCAGCACTCAGGAGGCAGAGGCAGGAGGATCTCTGTGAGTTCGAGGCCAGCCTGGTCTACAGAGTGAGTTCCAGGACAGCAAGAGAGATACATAGAGAAATTCTGTCTTGAAAAACCAAATACATACACAGACACAAAGTTTTTTTTTTCTTTGACTATTTTGGTAAGATAAGATATCACTATGTAGCCTGATCTAACTTGAGATCCTCCTGCCTCAGCCTTCTGAATGCTGAGATTATAGATGTGGATCGCTGCATCCAACTGTAGCTCTTTCTAACCCCAGTTTTAAACAAGGTCCTGCTGCCTGCCATGTTGTCATCCTTATGCTACACTGAGGTACCATCCCTCATCCCAGTGTATTCCCTGCTTCTTTATGTTAATCAGCACACACTAAGATGGAGCTTATCTCCTCTACTGTGAATAAACTCAACAAACTCTTTTCCTTAGGAAGGATTAGTCCAGGGGCCGGGATGGCTCAGAGATTAAGAGCACCAGATGCCCTTCCAGAGGTCCTGAGTTCAATTCCCAGCAACCACATGGTGGCTCACAACCATCTGTAATGAGGTCTGGCGCCCTCTTCTGGCCTTCATGCATACAAGCAGGCAGAGCACTGCACACATAATAAGTAGCTGAATCTTAAAGATTAGTGCAGAGGATTAGCAGTCCTCCAAGCCTGAGTGATTGCTGACTTTGTCACTGGTTCTCGTGTTCTTGGAGCTGGGTTTCATCCTTGGTAAATGTCCTCTTTCACTCTAGCCGTCATAAACCCTTATGAAAGGAACATTGTGATTAGTTAGATTGATTATTGATATCTCTGGCTATATTTCCCAGGTCCAGGTGTGTGTGTGCACATGCGTGCATGTGTCCACAGATGTGCATTTGTGTGCATGCAAAGGCTAGAGACACCTTGTGTGTCTTCCTCAGTCCTTCTCCACCCTGTTTTTTGAGATAGGATCTCTAATTTGTACGTGAAGCTTGCTAATTTAGCTAAGCTGGCTAACCAACAAGCCCCAGAGATCTGCCTCTCTCTGCCTCCCCAGCACTGGGATAATAGGATCACGTGCAGGTTTTTACGTGGGTCCTGGGATTGAACTCACTGAGCTATCTCCCAGGCTTCTTCTAATCATGGAAAATATGCACACTATGGACTCTAAGTGTTTGGGGCATTAAATACCCTCTGTATTTATGAACTGTCTTTTAACATATCTGAGTGATTATTGAATACTAAACTGATGGTTTGATTTTCAGTTGATGAAATATGTGCTCGGCCTGCAACTAAGATCAGCCGTGTAGAGGTGCATGCTGCAGCAGTGCCGTTTTCTGTAAGTACGTGGTCTGCTGGTGATGCATGTCATGGATGAGGATGTGTGTTTGAATACAGAGGCTCTCAGGGCTCATGTAGTGAGGAATTGATTTAAATTCAGAAGTAGGGTGATGAGAAGGAAGTGTTCATAATATATTCAGTGAAAAAAGATGGCTACAATAATAATGCATATTTTGTCCCAGTTTGGATGTAAAAATTCATTTAGTACACATATTTCACACTGAGTATACCAACTCACATTGCACTCACAGTTGCTAGGGGACTATCTCTGGGTGTGAGGGCACAGATAATTTTAATATTCTTCCCCATGCTTTCTCTATTGTATGAACATACATACATACATGTGCAGTAATGTAAATTACATTAATGGTTAAAAGAATTTGTTAAGGGAACAGAAGTACTTGAATAACTACTTAATAGGAGACAACAGAACATTACTATAATAGGTTGACATACATATAGACTAGCCCAAAATTCGGACATTGAGTTGTTTTATGTATGGTCATAATGGATCTGCATATTGCCAAACTTTAGTGCTTGCTACATGTCTTAACAGATACACTAGGATTGCCTTAATTAGATGAAAATGAGGATCATGCATCAGACTGTTTTTAGGGTTTTCACCTTTCTAGAACATTAAAGTCTGTGTTTGCAGACTCTTCTCAGGGAAGGGTTATTAAATGGAGAGATTTCCCTTCTGAATCTGTCCTGTGCATGTCAGTCACAGTTGTGTTGTTCCTTCAGTCGGAGTCAGCAGGTGCTCCGGAACGGTCTCTGAGGCCTTGTTACAGCGCAGCGAAGGGAGCCGAGCTCAGAGCTGCTCCTGGCCCGAGTCACAGGAAGCGGCAGCCATGCCGCGTGCACTTAAGACAGAAATAAACACTGAAGTGCACTTTGGTTTTGAGCTTCTGGGAACAATGTCCCATTTACAAGAAGATGATTTTAAAAGGTTAGTTCCAGGGATAGGATAACGCACCACCGAAAGTAGCATAAGTTGGAGGAGGTCTGATTCTGAAGCAGAGAGGGGTGTGCAGCTTACTCTGCTCTTTCAGTACATAGTGAAGCATATTCACATCACGTGTTTGTCTTGGACATTTTTTCTCTGTTTAGGTTTGGAGAAGCACAGATATTTCACATACAAAGATCACTGGATCTCTGCTTGTTGGTTTTGAACCTAGAGAAAAGGCCAACTTGGAATGGAGCTTCCTACCTGTTCCTCTTGGAGCAGATAGTGGCATTCTCTGATAGGATTACTCTTTCTGAGGGTCTCTGAAATGACAGCTGGCATTTTAACCTGCCACTGACGGGGAAACACGCTAACTGCAGCCAGGTTAATAGTAGCGGGCTCCTGCCAGGAGTCCCCGTTACACCATGGTGAATTGGCATCCCCATCCCATTTTCAGTTGGCCCAGTCTGTTGAGACCGTGTTCGTTCTGAGCTAATGTTCATCATGAGCTGATAATGTGTGCTCTTCACCCGTGAACGCTCTTGACAAAAGTCTTGACATTTCTGTACTCAATAAGGTCTTCATAAATTTTCCTTTCTCTAAAATTAGAAAGAGACACCTTCAAATCCAGTGGCCATTTTGAAAACAGAACATCAATGGTGTGATGTGGGAATTTTTAAAAACAACACCGCTTTGGTGAGCCAGTTTTACTTGCTGCCAAAAGGAAAACAAAGTATGTCAAAGGTAACTGTTGGTGTTTTTTTACATTTTGAGGGCTGATGATATAATTGGCAGGATGCATGTCTAGCGTATGTGTAAGTTTGGCTACAATTCCTGACACTTCAAAAAGCAAGCTAAATATACAAGAAGTGAATTATGAACCCCAAGAATGAGATTAGTTTTAATAACTCTGATTCCGGTCATTTGAGGGAAGGAAATTGAGATCTTTCCAAGGTGTATTATCGAGAGCTCTGCATATGTAATCATCTTACATTCTTTAATGCTGCCTTTGTAATAGGACATCATCATTTCATTTAAAAAATACTTTGCCAGGTGGTGGTGGCTACACCTTTAATCCCAGCACTCAGGAAGCAGAGACAGCCTGGTTCACACAGTGAGTTTCAGAACAGCCAAGGATACACAGAGAGACCATTTTAGAAAAAGCAAAAGACAAACAACCACAATGAGAAAAACCTGCATCAAACTGGGCATGATGGCACACGTGCTCAGTAGGCAGAGGCAGCAGATCTCTGTGAGTTTGAAGTCATCTGAGTCTATATAGTGAGTTCCAGGACAGCCAGGGTTACATGGTGAGAGCCTGTCTCAACAAAAAAGAGCTGTACCCAATTATTTCAGATAAGGGGTACCCCGTTACCCTATCTGTCTCTCAGCACACACGTGAAATCTCGCTATCAGGTACACACATCATCTATCAGTTTAGTTTCTCTGGCAAAGCTTTTGGCATTCTTCCCTCTTTTTCACATTGAATATTTTTAATCATTTTATTTTATTATTGTTGTTGTAATTTAGTTTTTTTGGACAGGGTTTTCCTGTATAACTCTGGCTGTCCTGGAACTGGCTCTGTAAACCTGGCTGGCTGACCTCAAACTCACAGGGATCTGCCTGCCTGTGGCTCCCAAGTGTGTGTGCCGCCACCACCTGGTGAATATTTCCAGTTCTTGATTTTAAAAAAGTCTAGTAAGCCATCATTACTTTTATGGCTACTGAAATCCCTGGCTGGGGATGAATCTGTGTCCTTAGAAGGTTATATCCATCGTAAAGCATACTAGCTACCTAATTTTTCTTTAAGAACAAAAGAGCAAAATTTGCAGCTAGTAAACTTGAGTTTGAGTTTCTAGTTCCAGTATTCCTCAGTGTGAACAGAAGCAAGTCAGTGGTCTGACCTCTCTGAGGCCTGGTATCTTCCTGTAGATGAGCAGGCTTCAGACGGGATGCTCTGCTGCCACTCTGGTGCCACGGCGTGCAGATGTTAGGAAGGTACAGATGTGAGGGTATTGCCACCCAGGAGCATAGCATTATTTAACATCTGTTCAGTGTCCTGAACTCACAGAGATCCGCCTGCCTCTGCCTCCCAAGGGCTGGGATTAAAGGCGCACGCCACCACCGCCCGAGCTTAGTCTCTCCTTCTCCTCAGGCTTGCTTCCCTGTCTCTAAAGGCACTGTTCCCAGGAAGAGGACTGTGTGACAGACAGACAGCAGGTCTAATCCTTCTCCAAGTCAAGTTCACATGGGGGGGGGTTTGTTCTGTTTGTTGTGGTATCACTTCTGGTTTTTTGGTTTAGTTTTTCCTGCCTTTCCCCTTAGAGTCAGAGGTTCAGATCATCTTCCATTGGATAGGAATCTGATTCGGGAAGGGCCTTGATGGGTTCTATAGTAGAGATTTACCCTTGGAGTAAGAGAGGGAAATTGGTCCCTCAAATACAGCTGTTTCTTCAAAAGTTTTGTTGTTTAATAACAATCAAGTAATTATAACTTTGTAATAATAAATGTACCTGCTTGTCTGACTCATGTATCCCTTACATTTTAGGTAGGAAATGCAGATGTGCCTGACTACAGTTTACTAAAGAAACAGGATCTTATTCCTGGAACAGTTTATAAATTCAGGGTTGCTGCAATCAACGGTTGTGGAATAGGCCCTTTCAGCAAAATCAGTGAATTTAAAACATGTATCCCTGGCTTTCCTGGAGCTCCTTCTACAGTCCGGATTTCCAAGGTAATCTGTCAGGTCCAGTGAGACTTGTCAGTGGTGCAAATGATTTGAAACTTCTGTGTTTACAGATTTTTACTAGCACTTGTGGAAGATCCCTCAGAGAGGTGGGTTAAATGTGTAAATGTATGTTTAGGGAGCCATGCATGGTATTTTTCAACCCCAAATTACAAGCAAGTAGAGTTTGAGCATGAAGCCACTGGGCTGGAGATGAGTTTGTATTGTCTTGTTTCCACCAGGCAGAGCTCATGGAGAGTTTGAAGTTTTAGAACATACGAAGTTGTTTGTATTTATAAATATCTCTTGCCTTTGTTAAGGAAGAAAACCCCTTTTGGGGGACACAATAGACAGAGTATGGACACTCAGTCTCACTTGGTGAAGTGTGTGTAAACTCCAGAGCCAGTTACAGTAAAGTCATAGTCAGCGGTTGTGATATCCAGGGCAGTGACAGAGGGCAGGCTCTGTGTTCTAAGACAGGATAAGTGATATAGAGTCTCTGGTTCTTCTCTAGAATGTCGAAGGGATCCACCTTTCCTGGGAGCCTCCAACTTCACCTTCTGGAAACATTTTGGAATACTCAGCCTACTTGGCTATTCGCACAGCACAGATGCAAGATAATCCAAGCCAGCTTGTGTTCATGAGGATCTACTGTGGCCTGAAAACCTCATGTGTCGTGACTTCTGGGCAACTTGCAAATGCACACATTGACTACACGTCTAGACCTGCTGTTGTGTTCCGGATATCGGCCAAGAATGAGAAGGGCTACGGACCAGCCACGCAAGTTCGGTGGCTTCAAGGTAACAATAAGAAGGCTCCTTTGAGTTGAGTTGTTTTTATTAACGCTGTTGTGATGGTTATTTATTAGTAACTGGTTATGAAGATGTGTTCTTTGAGAGTATTCTCTGACTGTATTTCTAGCAGTTATGAATTTGAGTTTGTAAATTGTTCTTCAAATGTATTTGCTCACTTCTAGATCCCAATAAAAATAGAAAGAAGCAAAGACTGAAAATTAGTATATGGATTCTTCCTTACCCATGTAGCTACTCATAAAGAAAAAAATAGCAAAGCAAAGATAAAAGCTGTAAGGTGCATTGCCCCTTATCTTTTATGAAGGCTCTGTAACTCAGTCGCCCTACAGCGACTGAGTTGAGTCTAGGAAGTGGCTGTTGTAGGCCTTGCTGTGGCGAAGGTGGGCCCCGTGGTAAATGCCCTTCAGCTCTGCCCAGGAGCAGGTGCTCTTCCACCAGCTGCTGCCCAGTGCACAGGTTTTCTGCACTGACCTTAGTAGCCACTTTATTCCCTTATTATAGTTCTCGCAAGCTTAAGAAATTAAAAGGAAAAGACAAGCTCAGGAACTCTGTTTTTATTTCCTGAGAATCATAGCAAACTATGAAAATGATAGTGGCTAGTCTTCTATATATGACCACTATATCTGAATATATCTTCAGCTAAAGCACTCAACCTGTCTGGCCCTTAATACCTGCACTAGCAGGTGAAGGTCCTTTCAGCTCTCAACTGTGTTTCCCCTAGAAGTTGGGTGCAGCCTGCACACTGTGCTTGTCAGCAGCAGTCTTCCTGGCTGTCCAGCTGTGCTCTCCGTCACTTCAGTAGAAAGCAGAGCGTGTCCTCCTCTTGAAGAAATAAGCACCTTAATAGGACACAAGTTTTTAAATAGTGTTTTAAACATTTGTAAGATTTTTGTAAATGCTCTAGATGTTTTATTTTTGCATTATTTTTACCTCAAAATTGTTTACGCTTTTTTATACCAGAAATAAAAGCATTAGACAGCCAGTCCAGGCTCCTGACCACCGAGAGATGCAGATAACCCTGTGGCCATTGGCTGCAGATGACTTTCTCTACACCTTCTCGAGTCTCAGTTTGACCGCATAGTCAGTTTGGAAACGAATATGTGTAGAGCAATAACTGCAGAAGATATTTCAGGCTGAGAGCTGCCGTAACTGTAGGAGCGCAGGTCTAGCTAGCTTGCTTTGCCACACAATCTCAATGCCAGTGTAGAGGGCTGAGCAGCTGTGCCCTCCAACTTTACATATGATATGCCCAGTGAAGATGACTCTAATTGTGAAGAATTGATATATATGCCAGTTACTAACTTAAAGTGTATAGAATATTTTAATATATGATTTTTGTAAAGACTGGGATTTTTATACTACAGTATTTGTAATTAATGCGTCTCACTAATTAAATTTCTCTTGAAGAAAATATGCAAATTGTTAGACACACGAGTGGTCTCTGAGCTCTGGCGATAAAGACAAACGCACTCGTCTGGTGTTGGTAGGAGGCCTTTCTGGGGCACATGAATCCTTAGTCATTAAATGGGTACTTTCCAAGCAGTATTTACAGGGAGCACCTCTGGTTGGTCATCTAGCAGCTCCCGTGGGGAGAGTCACCCCGCCTTCATTTCACGTGTGTGCTTTGCTTTGGGCAGTGCTTGCTTTTTGCACTAGTAGACTTTGAACTTACCTCACTGTTATGTTTATAGTCATTTGTGTAGCTTCCATGATGTGTTTGATAGAAGCTAAACATGTCTTAACCAAAGTTACATGGTATGTATGCAGATTTGCACATAGGGAGTGGCAGGCTTTGTTGTATGCGTGTGCTCAGCTTAGAAGAATAGCCAGTTACAGGAAGTGTATGCTTCAAGACCAATTACTTTACTAGAAAATCTTGTCTTTCAATCCCTATTCTCTGCATTAACAGTTTACATCTTGAAACATTTATCTTATTGTTGAGGAATAAAATTGATGTAAAGCAGACTAGAATGTTGGTTTTGTGTGTGCACTTTTTTTTTTTTATCTATTTAGTATGTGACATAGTTTATTTTGCTTAAAGAAATCTTCTATTCTAGACCAGGAGACAGATAGGAGCCCATGGTTCTAACATACAATTTGCTTCTTTGACAAAAGAGTGGCCTTTATATACCAAGCGATTTGTTAAAATAATAAATCTTTTTTTCCTTGAGAATTGCCCAAATTGTATCTTTTTCATCATTGGCCTACTTCCTTAAGCATAAGTCATGTTCGTTTCTGTAATGGGACTGGTGACTGAAGGATGCGCTTTAGCAGGTGTGTGTGGCTTTAGTGTTGTTAGCAGATGCTGCATAGGACGTGTCACGCCGGCACAGGCATGGAGCTCACGAGCACGCGCACACTGTGAAGCTGTGGTCTGCATCATGCAGACTTGGTTTTCTTTTCCCACATCTCTTCCTCCTTCCTCTTTTTTTCCCTTAGTGTTGGGGATTGAACTTGGGTCCCCGGGCAACTAGGCTGGTGCTCTACACCAAGCTACACCCCACCCAGGCAGATATCTCTTACTAAGAGGATCGACATCAAGTTAAATTTCTTTCTTTCCTCTGCGAGCTGCATAACCGTCTGTTTCACAGCCTCTGTCCTGTGTTCTGGACTTTGGTTCAAATAGGAAGTAAAAATAGCGCATGCTCTTAGAATTATGTTTTCTAAAATATTGTATTGACTTTATTTTAGCTTAGCAAATTATTTTGTCAATTTAACTAGAAATAAGTTATATATAAACTCAATCTGTATTTAAAGATTCAAATCTAATTGCATGTATGAGGCACTTTTGCCCTGTAATCCAATTACATGTATAATAATCATCTGTAGAGAAGTAAAACTGTTGATCAGTTATTTCAAAGACTTGTAGACTGCTTGAGTATGTGCTGTAACAGGACTTTTATTTTAAAGTGATAGCACTTATAACATGACCGTTTGCTCCATTCTGTCGGGAGTGGTCAGTGTTTGGAGCTCCTGTAGTCATCTACTCCCCATGGAGAGACCGGAAGTAGGCTTGGCTTTGCCGTCTGAGGTGGGACTGTTATTTCCTAGGACTGATTTTAGGCAGTTCTCTGTATTGTGTACCGATGATATGGAAAATAAATGCCCCTTTTCTATGAACAATTAGAAATGTTATTATTTCTTTTGAGTGATGCAGAGTAGTGGTGGCAGAGCCAGTCTGTGGGATGCTGATGCGTGTGCCGTTCACTTGAACACAAAGGTAGTCTCAGCTGAAGATGGACGGTCTAGAAACTGAAGTTAGATAGTGGGCAGGAGTCATTTTCTCCAAGATTTGATGCTCACTTGCCCCCTACTGTGTTACAATTGTGCTGAGCTGTGTGCAGGTAAACAGACAGATGGCTCCAAGAAAAGTCTAGACTTGTCTCCCCTTTGGGGTCTTCTGTACTTGTGGAGCTGTCTTTCCTTTAAGCTTCTCACCCTTCTTGGTTCACAGCAGCCAGGTCTATCCTGCTACTCCGTTGAGCTGGCTCTAACAAAAACCAGGCAGAATGCCACATTTTCAGATCTAGGAGGCTCTCTCCTTGCATTGCATCTTGGCGTCTGCACAGCTCCTCACGTCTGTGATGCACATCTGTCGCTCTTTACTCTTCGTCCTGTCTGCACTCCACGTTTCCACTCCTGCCACTTCTATGAACTCGACCATCCTGACCACACTTTCCCTGGCCTCCTCACCTCACGGAGCTCCAGCTGCTGCGCAGTCTCAAGAACGTTGTCCCCTTAGTTGTTAGCATTGTCCCTTTCTGGTCTCTGATGGTGGGTGTTTGCACAGAGACTGGGTTTTCATGCTCTTCCATCCTGGGCCATTAATAGCACGTAAATAACTGAACAGGCTGGTGAAGACATTGGCCACCCTTGGAGTCTTCCGTTCCCCAGTCTCAAGCCATGATCAGAATGGGGTGGTTCAGGGAGAGTGGCTCTAGTGCATTTATGGCACTGGGGACATGGACGTTTCAGCTTTGTCTTGCCTTACCCTGCACTGGGTTCCTAACTAAGGAACCTACAGGATAAATAACGGGTTGAGGAGGGTCTAATCTTCAGTTGTTTGAGGATGTAATGAGATCGGTGGGCATAGAGACACTAGAAGATCAAAATGATCTAGAAATTTGTTAGACCTAAAAATCTCTTGGTTTTGTTGTCTTTTTGTATATTTTTTGTTTTGAGACAGGGTCTCACTGTGTAGCCCTGCCTGTCCTGAAACTTACCATGAAGACCAGGCTGTCCTTGAACTCCCAGAGATCTGCCTGCCTCTGCCTCCTGAGTGCTGAGATTGAAGAAGTGCGCTACCACATGGGGCAGAAATCAGTCAGTTGTTCTGACACTAGAAAGCTAGGTAGCGGTTTAAGCACAGAGAGCTGCTGGGGACTGCCGGCTGGCTTAGAACTGCACTCCTGCTGCTCTCTGGGGCGGGCGGGCCAGTGTCGGTCCTTGAAAGCTTGCTGGGCATGCTACTGCTGCCTTTCATTCCATAACCTAGGCTCACCTGGAACTCCTGGCAGTCCTCTGCCTCTCAGGTGCTGGCTTACAGGCCTGAGTCACCGCACTTGATTTAAGGGAAGCAAGATGCCCTTGGCTTCCTTCCTTCAGGTATAGTTAGAATTGTCCTTGTATATTTCTGTAACTACAATGTATTATTCTGATCATGCATGGAAAAACAGACTGTAGTGTCCTGGAAGAAATAAAAAGAGGTCTGTGCAGGGAATGAAAGCTGTAAAATCTCAGGACAGTTAACCTCCTGATTCCAAACGGCTCTCTACCTCCCTATCCGTGTGCTGCTCTGTCCTTGGCAGAACTAAAATTTAAGAGAAAGAAAATGTATACTTGGGGAGGTGTCCCGATCCTAACAGGTTGATCTAGTAAAACAAAGCATGGCAGGTGCTTGGCAGTTTGGAAGTTCCCAGTGTTTGATGCATTCCAGTTGTCCATTCCAATTCAATGTGATGAGATTCTGGGTTGTGCAGCCAGCGAGGTGTGTGCACACGTGTGTTGTTGGTGGGACAGCCACAGCAGCTCCCGCTACTGGTGTTAGGTAGAGCTGAGTGTTGCTGCCATGACTAGTCTGCCCTGAACCACTCCATAAACCAAGCAGAGAAAAACTTCAGCTGCTGATGGCTTCAGTACTTCAAGAGCTCTTTTGTTTTTCAGATTTCTGAATTGAAGACCAGATTTTTTAGTGAATTCCCTGAACTAGGAGAAATAGTACCTTAACTGCTGCAAGCCCATAAAATGGCACAGACAGGGGTGATGTTGGCAGACAGTCTCTAGAAATAGGTGATGTTGACATTTTTTGACACCCAGAAGGAAGCTGTCCTGTAGGGAGGCAGTTGAGAATGGCTCTGTGTGGCCCAGGTTGTAGACACTTAGCCTACAAATGCACAATCAGGAAACAGCATTCAGTAAGGAGTTTACCCTTTACCTTACCCTAGGCTAGCTCAGACCTTGTGCAGTCCAGGCTGACCTTGAACTTGCAGCCCCACTAGGCAGGGTTCATTATCTGCTATACAGAAAGAATTACACACAGTGAGAAAAGTTCTCATGCAAGGATGAGTGGTGGCTGTGGGCTGGTGTGGAAGGGCAAGGTTGTAGTTCTGTAAACTCACTGGCTCTGCCTGCTCCCGTGAAGAATCGTCCACACTTGGTTGTCTTGTATGTTACGGACTTGCCCCTTGATGGTTGCACAGCGGTGACTGAAGAGCGATGCCGTGTTTGGTGGAGTTTTGTGAAACAGTGCATGCCAACCATAAACCGTCTGGGTGGAAAGGTAAAACGACGAGACTTGTCAAGCTTCACTTAGAAGCAGAGCGTTCTTCACGCCTAGAAATCTCTCTGCCCCATCTCCTCTCTCTTCATACACACCATACAGTGTACATGCTCTGGATTTGTTTCTAGTAATTATTTCTGTGCTTTCACTTGTAGCTCTATCATACATGTGTATGCTCTAAATAAAATGTTTAGATTTACCTGGTTTTGGACTTGTTTGTAAGAGTAATCATGACGTATGTATTCTCCTGTGACATACTTTTCTGGTATTTTTTCAAAACTTACATCCATGTTTATGCACATGCCTGTATTTCATGTTTCATTGCTACATAATATTCCATTGTATTACTGTTGTACAGTTCTATCTGCTCTTCTGTCTACCAGGGTTGGGTTTATTGCTTTCAGTTTTCGCTACTGCAGACAGTGCTGCTGTGGACACTGTGCCCACCTGCAATGTAAACCTGTGTTCCTTGCTGTACTCAGTGTTGAGACCATGACTGACACAGGACAGACCCTCAATAAATAAATGTCTGAGGAATGTGACGCTTCTCGTACCCTCTCCTTGCATGTTCTCCTTGCATGTGCAGTTCTCGGGCAGCTGAGACACCACGGAGGCATTTGTTACGCTCACTGCTTCCCACAGTGTAAGTATTGTCCTGGCGTGTGCCAGGCCCGCATGTGCATGCTTTGAGTCTTTAAGTCTCCACTTTAGTTTCACACGTGGGAAGTACGAGTAGGCACATGCAGCGTGTGCTGTAGCTCTGAGCGCCTCAGTTTTTAAGAATCTAAGAGGTTCAGAGATGAGCAGTTTGCATGCCGCAGCTTGCAGAAGTCACTGCTAAGCTGGGCTCCCAAGTGCTCTCACCAGCAGCACAGCTGGATGCCTATTATACAGTATCTCATGGTGGGTTTAATTGGCATTTCCCCGTTACTGGTGGGTTCAGTAACGCTTCCATACGTGGTCCTCTTCTGTGAATAGTGATTAGTGTCTTTTGAGCACATTTGATAAACTGTCTTTCATTGATGCCTATGGTTTCTATGTATGTTCTGGATGTCAGTCCTTGGCCGGTGGTTCACAAATTTCCTACCAAATCCGTGCACTGTCTTTTGGAGTTGTGTTGAGTATGCTAATCAACTTGGAGGAAACGCCCATTTTTCTCCTTGTGTCTTCCCGGTCAGAAGCACTATATGTCTTTCCAGTGATTATGCCTTCTGTTTGTTTTGAGACAGGGTTTCTCTGTGCTCCTGGCTGTCCTGGAACTCACTCTGTAGACCAGGCTGGCCTCGAACTCACAGAGATCCACCTGCCTCTGCCTCCCGAGTGCTGGGATTAAGTGTGTGTCACCACATTAGTTTCCCTATGCCCATTTATGAATGTCTTCTTATCCTTATGACAGTGACAGGTCAGAATGTTGTGGGGTCTGAGACTCAGAAACAACCCAGGCAGGCACAGGAGTCCACACAAAGCAAAATCTTTATTGAATTGGGGAGGAAAGGCTGACCAGTCAGGGGCAACAGCATAGACTTGGAGCCAGCTACATCCCAAGATGTTCAATTTAGCAAGTGTTTAAGTGGAAAAGTCACGTACATACGCTGAAAGCTGTCAGTGAAACTCAACAGCTATACCTAAGAACCTGCGTCGACGGTAGAGAGGACTTCCTCACCTAGTGCGCGAGTTACAGAACATTTCCCGATAGCGAAGTGTTAAAACCATAAATAGATGGTACCTGTTCACCATTTTTCTTCGTTAAAACAGGGTCAACACTTCAGTGGAAGGCTCTACATCCAAGAGTATATGGCTTTTTTTTCTTTTGTTTTTTTGTTTCTACAAAGCTGGTGGGTATGGAGTGGAGGTCAGTTTGGGACCGGCTGCTGAGTGTGATAAAAATGGAAGCTGGACGTGGTGGTGCACGCCTTTAACCCCAGCACTAGAATAGAGGCGGATTTCTGTGATCCAGAGCAACAGAGAGAGACACTGTCTCCAAAGAAAAAACAAAACAAATAATCAAACCAAACCAAAAAAAGAAAACCCAAACGAAAACACATTGTACAAGATTCTCAACAAGTTTATAAAAAATAAAGGGGAAATATTCTTTTCCCACCGATTTTTTATTTTGAGATAGGGTTTCTCTGTGTGATCGTCCTAGCTATCCTGGAACTTGTGTTCCCACTGATTTTTTTTTTAAATATTTATTTATTCATTATGTATACAATATTCTTCTTGTGTGTCTGCCTGTAGGCCAGAAGAGGGCACCAGATCTCATTTCAGATGGTTGTGAGCCACCATGTGGTTGCTGGGAATTGAACTCAGGACCTTTGGAAGAGCAGGCAATGCTCTTAACCGCTGAGCCATCTCTCCAGCCCCCCACTGATTTTTATAGGGTTTTCAGAAGCTGATCAAGCATGCCTATTTCAGTCTGAGCCTGTGTTTGGTGTCACTGGGTCCACTGAGCCTTTGTGCCACGTGTGGCATGGTGTCTTCATTCACCACAGTAGCTGCATACCAGGGTCAGCCTTTCCATCAGCGTCTAGAGCTCTCGCAGATCCTGGCATCATTACAGGCCCCACAGGTGCACTCATATTTTCTTTTGGATACAGTGTAACCCTGGCTGGCCTGGAACTCACTGTGTAAAGCAGACTCGCTGTGAAGAGATCTGCATGCCTCTGCCTCCTAAGTGCCAGCTATATACCAAGTTGAAGCCTAGCTTGCATTTTCTCTTGCTCAACCCTTTTAGAGGTCTATATATTTAACCCTGTAGGTATTTGTTTTTTTCTTTTCAAGACAGGGTTTCTCTGTGTAGCTTTGGAGCCGGTCTTGGCACTCGCTCTGTAGAGCTGGCGTCGAATTCAGAGATCCACCTGCCTCTGGTTCCAGAGTACTAGGATTAAAGGTTTGCGCCACCACCATGCCAAGAAGTTTTTTTAAGTTGAATGATTTAACCTATTTGTTTGTTGTGATTATTTCTAAGTCTTAAACATAAATGTCTTTTTAGTTTAATCCCAGTCTTCAGCATGCGGAGGTCATGTCTTTCTCCGTGTGGACTAGGGGTCAAACACTCTGCCAAATGTCCCACCTGAGGCCTTGAGGGAAGTCCGCAGCTTGCAAAAGGTGGGCTCTAGGTCAAACTCACAGGAAGCCTGCGAGTCACATCCTGTGATCTCCAGTACTTCCTCCCTGCCACAGGAAACCCTCGGGCATTGCCCAGATGAGCTCCCAGCGGAGAGGTGCACAAGTCAGCCCTGGCCACCAGACTGTCCTACCACCAGAGTAGCGACCACACCTGTCCAGGAATGAAGACAGGTTTTCAGGAGTCTGGCTCATAAGTACTGGCCTAGAGCAACCAACCTAGTGCTCACTCGGGCACAACGAGGTCCCCTAATCTTGCCCTGGTTGGTAATGGTACTGACAGCCTTGACACAGCCTTTCTGGGATCCCACCACATTGGTCTACGTGCCAGACTCCTGAGTCCTGATGAAGGGAAGAGGACAGTGGCCTTATCTTCTATAGGGTTTTTATTTTTCAATCTTTTTTTTTTGTACAAGTTGGTTTACAAATCTTTCTGCAATCTTTTTTTTCTCTCTTATGTTTCTTCAAACATCAATTTTTCCCGTCATGTTCTTTGTGGTGGTTCTGTTTATCTGATGGATTCTGTCTTCTATTAATGATGCCATTTGTCTTGAGTCTCTGGTATCTTCCTTAGCAGCTAGGGATGAATTGAGTCAGACTGAAGTTGGAAAATCCCTAAGAGAATCTATTTGTCCAGAAAGACATCCAAGGCTGTTAGCCTGAGACTCCTAAAAATAATAAACCGAGGAATGGCCTATTCTGAATTGTTTGAGAGAGGGGATTTCTGTCTCTCCACCCAGCACCAGAACTGAGGGGTGTCCTAGCCCACTCATTTCTGCGGCGGTTGAAGTATTCGGAGTTCAGCCTCTGTTCAGCCTGGCTGTTTCCATGTAGCACTGCTGTGGACAGAGAAGCAAATGGGTGCTGGCCTACCAAAGGCTCCCCATTTCCACATCTTTTCTGAACACGTGCTCTTCTGTCAGATACATTTTAAGGGATATTTAACAGTACAGTTTATGCATGCATTATGCATGATGCCATAGTCCAGGGTGGAAGTCAGTCCCCAGCTTTATTCTGGTGGGTCCACAGGCTCAATAGCAAATGCCTTTACCCACTATATCACTTTATTACTCTACCTTCCTCTGCTGTTCGGTATAAGAGAAGCTGTATCATTTAGGCTGCTTCCCAGATGAAGTCTGAAGATGTAACTTACTGTGGATTTGAGCAGGAAAACACACACTTGCATGCAGCCTTTTTTGGCCTACTGAGAAAGTCTCTCAAGTAGCCCAAGCTGGCCTCAACTTGATATCCAGTCAAAGATGACCCTGAATTCTTGGTCTTTTTGTTTTTTTGTTTGTTTTTTTGAGACAGAGTTTCACTGTGTAGCTCTGGCTGTCCTGGAACTAGCTCTTGTAGACCAGGCTGGCCTCAAGCTCACAGAGATCCACCTGCCTCTGCCTCCTGAGTGCTGGGATTAAAGACGTGCGCCACCACCGCCCGGTCTAAATTCTTGATTTAGTGCAGGAATTACAAGGCCTGTGACGTGATCCCTAGCACTCCAGGGTGTTTAAAGTGTGTATTTTTAAAAATTACACGTATTTATTGTGTGTGCATGAAAGACCGGGGGACTGAACTCAGGTCAGTCTTGGCAGCAAGCGCCCTTACCCACTGTGCCACCCTGCCAGCCTTTGGTTGCTTCTGACTATCTCACTGCTCCACGACACACATCTGAGATAGACCCTCGTAAGTATTTATAACTACAATATTAGATGTTACTGGGTTTCTTTTGCTCACCAAGGCAAGAAGGCCTGTTTTTTCACGAAAGGAAAATGCTACATACATATTACATGGAGGAGAAGTAAACACTTCCAACTTGTGCACTACCACACCAAACACCAAAATCAGGAAAGTTTAACTCCCTCATGACACCTCTAACGCCAATCACTAAAACCTTAAGTCACTTTTAACCAAAAAAGGAGTATTTAAAAAATTATAAAATTATTTTTGGCTTGAGGATGCTATCAGATGTGAGTCAGGATGAACATGAAGCCAACACTTGCTGAACATGAAGGACTTGTATCAGGCACACACAGCCTGTTCTCTTCCTTGCATGAGTAAGGAGATCGACCCAGAGTTGACCTGCTTTTGCCCCCAAAGGAATCCCTCACAATCAGGTTCAAAGTCCTGTTTTGATGTTATGTTGTAAACTTAAAAATGGTAATTTCTTTTTATCTTCACTCTTAACCTCTGAGTAGCTGTAGAGATGGTCTGATGCCCAGGGTCTCGCACTGCCGGTAAGGCAGCAACAATGACCAGGTAAGACACACTCCAAAAGTGACCCCCACCCCACCTCCACCCCGGAGCAAAACCCTCCCTCTCTCTGTGTGTCTGGGAACCCAGCAGTTCTAAGAATTTATTTCAAAAAAAGTTATGATTTATACAAGATTCAGTGAAGGG